CTTTAAATCACCGCGGGAGCCCGGCTGCCAGAGCTCCGGCAGTGATTTAAAGGGCTCAGGGCTCCCCGCAGTGGCTGGAGCCCTGGGCCCTTTAAATCGCCACCGGAGAAACCGGTCCAGTCCGGCTTACTTTCACCTCTGAACAGCTCATTTCAGCAGATTCCCTTGGCATTATTGGGCCCAAGCTTTGGGGGATTTTAAGGTTTTTCATAAAATCTCCCCCAAGTGCTAGCAATGCATTTTTACCATACACTTCATCTGCGTTCTTAGCATGGGTTGTCTCACTCTTTTAGAGCAGATCTAGACACCGTGGTGCTAAAATGCCAGCAGCCATTCTACACAAGCACTCCTACTGGTGCTGCTGTCTGTGCAACAAAAAAAAGCTCAATATGGAAAAGTCTTAGCAGCAGCACCCTTAGCACCGTGCCTGAGCATGATCAGTGACCAGCTGGAGTGTCTTGTGATGGGTTCAGTTCCATCAAGTGACTTTCACCTTCTCAGCAGGCACCTCTATATGAACTGATGTTCACATCCATGGATGGCATCTCTGTTAATTAAACAGTAGTGTTATCTGGGCACTATGTGGGACCTTTGCCCCTCTATTATTATTTCAGCTGACCTGGGATGGCACTAACAGTAAGAAGCTGGCAGGTGTTAATATATTGTGCAGTAGGAGAATTTTTTAAAATATTCTGTTCCACATTTTTTTTCACTTCTAAACAGGAAAAAAGTCAAAGTATTAAATTAGTCTGTAAAATGTAAAACAAAGAGGGGGAAAAAAATCCACCTTCTCCTCTTAACCAAATTTTCTGATGTTGGGAGGCATTAATAACCCTGTCATCTGTATTTTAGCCACCAGCACCTGCAAGACTCCATGTGTTCCCATGCTCAAGAATACTATCCCCAGGGATTGCCTTCAGAGCCCGTCAGTGCTCACTGATGAGTAACATGAATTGCTCCCCTCTCCTGTGAGTCTTAAGTTCTTTGCTTTTCCGGATCCTGTTGACTCCAGGGAGAGAGATCCTGTTTTCTTAAAGAGTCTTTATTCCAGTTGCTTTTCTCTTCCATCCCCTGAGAATCCACAAAATATGCTGGGAGGAGAAATGCTATGATTCAGAGGGTTACCACTATAAAAACATCACGGTGCTGTAGTGTTTGCATCAGTACAGATCATAGAATCATAGAAATGTATGGCTGGAAAGAATGTCAAGGTCATCTAGTCCAGCCCCTCTGCATTGAGGCAAAATTAAGTACACCTGGACCATCCCTGGCAAGTGTATGTCTAACCTGTTCTTAACAATATCCAATGATGGAGATTCCACAACCTCCCTTGGAAGTCTATTCCAGAGTTAACTATCCTTATAGTTAGAATTTTTTTCTGCTATCTAACCTAAATCTCCCTTGCTGCAGATTAAGCCCATTACTACTTGTCCTACCTTCATGGACATGGAGAATAACTAATCACCCTCCTCTTTATAACAGCCTTTAACATAGTTGGAGATAGTTATCAGGTCCCCACTCAGACTTCTTTTCTGAAGACTAAAAATACCCATTTTTTTAAATCTTTCCTCATAGGTCAGGTTTTCCAAACCTGTTACCATTGTTGTTGTTCTCCTCTGGACTCTCTCCACTTTGTCCACGTTTTCTAAACTGTGGCACCCAGAACTGAACACACCATCCATGCTGGGACCTCACCAGTGACAAGTAGAGCGGGACAGTTACCTCCCGTGTCTTATACACAACATTCCTGCTTATCCACCCCAGATTGATATTAGCCTTTTTCCCAATTCATCACATCCATATTCAATTTGTGATCCACTCTAACCACCAGATCCTTTTCAGCAGTAGCCAGTTATTCCCCATTTTGTAGTTTGTAGTTGTGCATTTGATTTTTCCTTCCTGAATGCAGTACTTTGCACTCGTCTTTATTGAATCTTATTGATTTCAGATCAATTTTCCAATTTGTCAAGATCACTTTGAATTCTAATTCTGTCCTCCAAAGTGCTTGCAACCTCTGCCCCACCCCTCAGCTAAGTGTCATTTGCAAATTTTATAAGCATCTTCTCTACTACATTAGCAAAGTTATTAATAAAAATATTGAATACTACTAGACCCAGGACTGAACCTGTGAGACCCCACTAGATACGCCTTACCAGTTTGACAGTGAACCATTGATAACTACTCTTTGAAGTTGTGCACCCACCTTATAGTAATTTCACGTAAACTCCATTTCCCTTGTTTGCTTATGAGAATGTCATGTGGAATGTGTCAAGACATAGCATATTTATTGCTTTCCTCTCTCCACTAGGCCAGTAACTCTGTCAAAGAAGGAAATTAGGTTGGCTTGGCATGATTTGTTCTTGACAAATCCATGCAGGCTATTGCTTATAAACCTATTACAAATTGATTGTTTAATCATTTGTTCCAGTATCTTTCCAGATATTGAAGTTAGGCTGGCTGGTCTATAAATTATTGGGTCCTCTTTGTTTCCCTTTATAAAAATTGGTGTACTACGTTTGCACTTCTCCAGCCTCATGACCTCACCCATTCTCCATGAGTTCTCAAAGATACATCATTATACATCAGTGTATAATATGTCAACTTGATGCATCATCACAACAGGTAAGTACTACCTCAGTGTGGTATGATGCCCAGAATTACTATGAGACCAATCTTGCAGAACACAAGCCTGGCCCAAGAAAACCAGGATGGTCTCATAAATTTTAGTTCAAGTGGCTTCCTGGTGGGGAGCTCGAGGCTTGGGGAACTGAAATGAGAATGTAGGCTCCAGTAACTGTTTAACAAATCTTTAAAACCTACACTGCAGCTGCTTGATGGTTCATGTACGTTACTCTTCCTCCTCTCCCCAGTATACCCAGTGTAGACATGCACAGCTGTGTACCCTGGTTCCTGTACATTACGATTTGTAACATTTTAATGGGCGTCTGTGAAATGCTTCAGTAAATATCTCCATCACTAATACAGCAGACACCAGATTCAAGGCCCCACCCCATGGAAACACACCATAGTAATCAGCCTCCTCTGGTGCGTTCTCCCACAGTCCTGCAGCTGCCACTGGCTGTCTTCTCTGTGGTCACCAGTGCGACTGCTGGGATGTAGTTGGTGCCTATATTTCCACCCTCCAGCTCCAATACAATTACACCGATGCTGGAGAAAGGACTGATTTATCATTAATGATTTTTATAAGGCACAAAGAAAATAGACATAAATAATCCAAAGAGAGAGAAGAAGAGGAAGCTGTGAGCTTTGGGAAGAAGAATGTTGAGGTATTCACATCTGCACTTGCAGTTCAGCGCTTCTTGCATAAATATGAGGGCACAGGGTACAGTGACTTCTGCCACTGCTCTAATCTCACTTCAGGCCTGAATTCTCATCTGGAGTCTCTTGGGATCAAATCTGAACAAGAGTTACATTGTCATGTTACTGAAGAAGGTTGGGAAGTCTTGGTAAAACAGAATATACAAGCCCCTATTAATATTAAATACAAGGCATGTGAATTTGAGTGACATGACCCTTATTTTACATTTCCCCCAGTCTTCACATGGCTGGGAAGTGTGATGCAAGTTGTCTAAGGCTTGGAACAGGAAGGAAATATTTTGTTTCATTCCATTGATTTTTTGCCATGAGCTTTGAAGAGTAGAGAGGTGTACAAGGTATTCATATTCTTTCACACATCTATATTCAGAATCTTGACCTGGATCCCTTTCTAGCTTTCTTACAAGTGAAGAAGTTATTACCATATTTTTTCAAAAGACCTGTTGTGGGGGAACAGTACATAGCAGGAGCTCTCTGGCCACCAAGATAAAAAAATCTACTCAGTGTGATGTAAAATTTCAGTTCTTTTTCTCCATACAGGTAGGGGAATATCTCAAGAAGCCTTTTGGACAAGAATGTCTGAAAAGTTGTCTTAAAACCATGCCACAAAACAAAGCAGTGCTCTTCATGGTGGGGATTCTTCCTTATAATGTGTTTTACCATAGACCGTGCAATGGATCCCTGATCTTGAATGGGACTCCTGGGCATTAGGGTAATGCAAATAATAAAATCAATAATTCTGTGAACATCAATGAAGTACTCCCAAGTATTTTCTGTAAGGCTGGGTAAATCGGGCAGCTGCACATTTGTTTACATTGTGGTAACTGTATCTTTGCGAAAGAAATGACCAACTTAATTTATTTATTGTTTAATTAAAGCTTACAACATGCAGAATGCACCCAAATTGTAGAGAGTTTTCAGAATGGTAAGATCCGCGATTCCCCACCCAGACAACAGTTTTCTCCTGTTCTGAATGTTAATGAGTTTTTCTCTAAGGGGAAAAGAAGAGGGGTTTGATCTGTGCATTTCAACGAGACAGAATCCTCTCAGATAGATGGTCCTAGATGATTTTCCCCAACCAGTTCCTGGTGAGCAGCAGAGCTGCTAAATTGTGTTAGATGTTTGCAGTATCCCATAACTCAAATGGCTTTTCCTCAAACTTTCCAGAAATAATTCACCTCTGGGCTGAGACCAGGCATGGACAATTCAGCTTAAAGGAAATATTTTTCAGAACCTGATGAGTGTGTATATCACATTCATGCCTTCAATGATAGCTTTATCTCCAAAATCAGTCAGCAACACTGGTGCCCATCTAAAGCAAGGCCACTCATTGTACTCCCAGCTTCCCGGTTCCATTCTCTGAGGGTGTAATTTATATACCTTTCCTGCAGTTAACCCCTCTTCTTATGAATAAATAATAGACATAGAAATTGGAGCATTACCAGAGCTTCGAAACCCTGAGCTCTTAGGCTTCAACTACTCACAGAGAGCTGCTGCTGCCATCACTCACTGTCTCACGTTGAATTCATTTCATTTCACAGACTGACTGCACCTAGGGATGCGAGTGACAATGATCTTAAATTCCAAAGGACCTGACCAGCTTATGTGCATCTCTCTCATAATCCAGGTGGTTGTTTATTTTGTGCATGTTCTTCTTGTTCCAGATGTCCCTGTTGAGAAACTTTCTTCAATGGAGTCGCTGCAGAGTGTAAACCTGAAGTCAAATCCCCTGAACGAGGAAGTCCAGGTGATTGCCAGGCCGCTGATCAAATTTGATCTCCTGGTGTCTCCAAAGGGAGCACATGCTGCTCTGCAAGCCTGAAACACAGACTTTGGTTGCGTGGACTTGGTGTGACTTCATTTGAGGTTTTAAAGGGAAAGCTAGGGGATCCAGCTGCAGGGCATGCTGATCTAGAATGGCTCCACCAGCTTTTGCAAGCTGCATCACTCCTGCATGTGTGAGGTTTTGTAGATGTGAGGAGTAGGATGGGGATGATTGGGGGAGGGGGGGGTTCAGAGTCGGTATTTCATTGATAGAGAGTGGATCTGCTTATTGTTATTTCTTTGCAGCTGTCTAAAATACACAGAAATGCAGTGAGGCCCTAGTAAATCACTATTTGATAAAGGAATAAATCTGTGAAAAGATTAAACTTCCAGGGCAACAGAAAGGAAAGTGCAATGCAGAAATAGATCAGATAAGAGACTCAGGGCAGGTCTTCACTACGGGGGGGGGGGGGGTCGATTTAAGATACGCAAATTCAGCTACGCGAATAGCGTAGCTGAATTCGACCTATCGGAGCCGACTTACCCCGCTGTGAGGACGGCGGCAAAATCGACCTCCGCGGCTCCCCGTCGACGGCGCTTACTCCCACCTCCGCTGGTGGAGTAAGAGCGTCGATTCGGGGATTGATTGTCGCGTCCTGACGAGACGCGATAATTCGATCCCCGAGAGATCAATTTCTACCCGCCGATTCAGGCGGGTAGTGCAGACCTAGCCTCAGTCTCCTAAGTGTATTTCTATGCACCAAACAAAACTAGAAATAGTCTCTCAGTAGAGCTTTCTGCAATGAGTCTGACAAGGAAGTGACCTATTAGAAGAATAACACCTTGCTTCAGCAAAAATCAATGTAATAGCCTACTCCATTCTTGTATCACTCAAAGCCCTGTTATTCAGGTGAAGCATAGTATGGAGCAGAAGAGTGCTAGAAGGAGGCTCTGTCCTATGAATAAGCACTAGTTTACACAGCCTTGATGGTCCAGGATTGAATGAAAATACTCTGTGGATGGACTTTTCTTTTCAACTAGTTTGATCTTGGTGGTTTACCCCTAGGATCTGAGCCAGCTGTTATAATGGAGCATATTAACTGGACACCACTATGAGCATCAAAACAAGACAGTAAAACTTGTCTTACAGTACAGAGGTCCTCTTGGAAAGAATATCCTATCTACAGACAACTCCTTTTCTTCTCTGGTTCTTCATTCAGCATTTGATTGACAAGGCATAATGATCCCACACACACCCTTTTTTTTTTTTGACAGATTAGTTGATTTTGTCCAAGATAAATAATTTCTGTTCAGCCTCCTAGGGCTTGTCTTCACTGCAAAGTTAACTCGAATTATAATTTGAATGTTGCCCTTAACTCAAGTCCCATCCACACACACAAACTCTTTACTGAAGTGTGGTGGTACTTTTAAGTCAAGTTGGCTGGCCCGAGAGGGAAGGTATAGGCCAAAACTCAAGTGAGCACAATTCGTCAGTTGCTAACATAGGCTAGCTCCACTCAAGTGCCAACAGTCCTCCAATGTCTTCCCACAATTCCTTCCCTGTGCCCAGAAAGGACAGAAGAGTTCTCTCACTAGTTACTGGAAAATAATTCATAGAATGGCTTATTTTACTACATCACGTAAGAACCATGGATTGTGTGTGTCCCTAGCACTCTTAGTGACACACACTAATGAGTGCAGCTCCAGAGTGGCTACAACAGCTCAAGAGTTATATCACAGTGAGCTAAGCTTGCTTGAGCTAGGCTAACTTGAGAGGAGTAACTCAAGTGTAGATAACTTGTTATACTCCTACTGTAATACTAGGACTGGCAGTGCATTGACATTAACAAGAGCAGGGGTGAAGAAATGTTCAAACATGGTTTCTGCATGTCACTCCATATGTTAGTTCTGGTTTTAGCGATCTCTCTGAGTGTGTCCTGTCATGAGCTGCTCACTGCTTGTCCCTTGTTCACATGGTAGGTATATTTTGCTTCAATAGATTTTAACGTAGTTTCCTGTTGCTGGGGATCAAGAGAGAATCTGGTGGATGGAAGAACCAGAAAATTTAACTTGCTGGTGAGAAATGATCTCTGGTGGTTGGTTTAAAACAAAAAGGCAATAAATTAATCTATTTGTTTCATCCTCTTGAATAGTGTTTTCCACAGAATATAGACATATGCTGGATGTGCCTAATACATACATGTGGATATTATTGTTTCCCCTTTCTGACCCAAGCAGCTAGTCAAAGTTTAGGGCCCCGGGAATATCCCAGCTGGAAGTAGAGTCTGGTATTTTCTTTGATGCAATCTAGTTTATTTACAAGGAATGTACAAAGTCCTGCTTGTCCAAATGCAGAGGGAACCCAGAGCAAAAGGAGCAGTTTTTTATCTGACAATCCCATGCCTCTTTAGCCAACACTAGACCCAAAACACTAGACCCACTAGACTCACTTTCTAGCTTTTTCCAAGGTCAGCTGTGCTTACAGGCTGCTGCTTGGCCTCTCAGTCTGCTGGCTCTGTTTCCAGCTTGTCTATTTTACTTACACAAACACTAACACACAGACACCCAGTCAAACACTCCATCCACAGGGTGCTAGTTTCTGGGCAGACACTGTTAGGACTTGTTTTTGGTGTGGCCCCTTAAGTGTTTCTTACAACGCACAGTTTGTGCAGGGTGAGTTCACACATCAGTTTGAACAAGGTTTTAACTCAGCCCCTAACAAGATTTCACCCAGCTCATAACTTATAAATGGGGAAACACTCCTTTCATTGGGGATACATTTACATCCTTACTGCTCACTTCATCTCTAAAAGGTTGCCAGCTTTCAAATATTGGTATTAGTGGCAAGTTGGGTACAAGGCTTTGTTATTCTAGACCCACCTTATTCACAACGAAACTTTACTTTGAAATAAAATAGGTGGTTGGTTTTGTAACATTCGCCAATTAGTAGAAGCAGTGATATGGATTCCTAAAGCTCTACCGACAAAAAGTAATTTTAATTTAATCAGCATGTGAAATGTCAAGTGCCAAAATAAATATACCCTTGTGCTACATCTCGTGTATGCTCACCTTCTAAAGAGCAGTTTTGTTCTTCCCATCTGGCCTTCCTTGATTATAAAAATGATTCCTTTAACCAGCTGCTACATCCTGTGAACTGGACATTCTTTTTTGCTCTGGCTTTGAAATCAATATTGCCTGTGCTTTCTTTTTTAAAATCATAATCTTGATTCCAAGTTCCTGACTTAAGAAGTGGTGTGTGCGTGTTTGAATATAATGCTGTATATTAATTCAGGATTTTTTGTGATGGCACATAGTCAGAGAAATCAACATTGTACTACTTCAGTTACAGAGATGATTAAAATATGGTAGCATGTTAGTTCAGATTACTTTCAGATTCCATGACATGGTACATCCATAAAAAGAGCATAGAGGAATATGACAGGTTCACAAGATATTTGCAGGGTCTGATCATTTAAAATTCATTGCATACCACAAGCCATTCATCTAATTAGTAAACAAAAAACAGACTACTCATGTGTTTGAGATTTAAACGTATTACAGAATATGCACCAGGGAGTTCCCTAATGGTTCCTTATCTAGTAGCCCTATTGATCATCTAGATTCTGCAAAGGCTCTAAAAGACACAGAAGCACACATGGGTGCCATATTGAATGGCCTGCCAACCTCACTACAGAAATCAGAATTGATTAAAATAGTCGCTAGTGATGATACACAACTGCAAATGGTATCAGATGTTACTTAGCAGAGGGCCCAGATCCAGCCATTGCCTTCCATGCATAGTGAGGAGAACTCTCTGAAGATCTGATGATCTGTGCTGATTGTACGGAAGCCCACAATCTTTGCAGGAACAAGCCGCAGTGTGTGAGTGTCCACCCACTTAGAGGTGGACCTAAAACTCAAAGTAGAATCATGCAAATCTTGCACCAGAAAAACTCAACTCAAAGAATCTCTTCCACCAAGAAGAAAAGGGGCCATGGGTACCTGGTAGCCTTTAGCTATTTCTCTAGGTTTATAGAAATTCTACTTTTCACTAGACACACAAGCCAACAAATCACAGAATAGTTAAAATGCACCTTTTATTATTTTGGCACTTGGAAGAAAGTCACTGGCCATGGACTACAGTTTGCTAGCTCTAAATTCCAAGCTTTTGGGCTACAGTATGTTTTTAAGCATATTAATTCTTCCAGCAAGGGAATGAACTGGTAGAAGGAACAAAACAGATTGTTGAGAGAATTCTACACCAAAAAGCTTCCATATTAGACTTCTGTGCTGTAGGCCAACTCCCACCACACTGGCACAACAATTACTAGCATAAAACCAGCTCAGCTGCTTATGGGTTGACAGATTAGATCAATGCTGCTAATCTATATGGTATATCTTTAGCCTTAATGGCTCTTCTTAAAGATGTGAAGCTGAGAGATACCAAATCTGTGAGATCTCATGCTTTCTTTGTTAGTTGTTGGAATGCAGCCCAAAGCTTAAACCGGGAGACCTAGTCCTGATAAAACTGAATGGGTAAAAATATTGGCCAACAGCTGTTGTCACCGGACACAGCTGTGTCCCAAGATGCCACATGGATAAGACAGATCAAGGCACTCAGTGTGGAAGAAACAGGTGGAATATTCAGCGGGCAGCAAACCCAGTTTGGGTCTGTTATGGGCTTGATGCTGAAATCACTGGGTGGAATTCTATGGCTTGTGTTATTCAGGACATCAGACCAGATGATCATAATGATCCTTTCTAGCCTTCAAGTCTCTGAATTAGTTGAACTGCTGTGGGACTCCTGTAACAATGGTATTCACACCACAGGATGTGTGAAGGTTGAGCAAAGTCCTTCATAATCCAAGAGAATAAACTGGACAAAACCCTACTCAAGGCCAAAGGATGATCAGATTTGGATGAACTGTGAAGCAACCGATTCAAACTGATCTTCAATTTTGTTTTTAAAGATTGTTTATACAGAAAAAAGAGGGACAAGATATGAAGATGTCTGCTTGGTTTGTTTAAAATTCTATCAGGAACCCTAGGCAGAAGAAGGCTAGGTGAGGACTCTAGACAGGAGTTCTACAATGACAGAAGCAGATTAGATTTAGGGATGATATCATTATCCTTCCTCAAATAGTTTCTTGTTCAGTATGAAAAGAAAGTGACTTTTGGTGATTCTTTACCATTACCACATGACAGAACCATCAGTGCCATCAAAACTTAGGTAATAAAATGTGAAAAGCATCTTGGGTTTTATTGCTTTCTCCTCTTTTTTTAACCTTTCAAAGAAAGTAAGTCTCAGAACTGAAAGATGTCTAGTCTAATGGGGGCAGGACATGGGAGCCCTTCAAGAAAATTGTGGATCCACCCTCAATCTAGAGGCTTGGCAGCTTTTGTGAACAGGTGCACATTTACAAATTTACCAGAAATTAAAGTAAAAGATTGCTGCTGACCTGCTGGGCCATTGGGGCAACAAAAGTCACCATTGGCCTATCCTCTTCTTTTGTCTACTGTGCATTCAATAGCTGACAAGGCTTGAACGCTGC